TTCCCGGGCCACATTTTGAATGCTGAGGCAGGCTGATGCTGAGGCTGAGGCAGGCTGAGGCTGAGGCAGGCTGAGGCTGAGGCCAGGCTGAGGCTGAGGCTGAGGCTGAGACTGAGGAGGCTGAGGCAGGAGGCTGAGGCTGAGGCTGAGGCTGAGGCTGAGGCAGGCTGAGGCAGGCTGAGGCTGAGGCTGAGGCTGAGGCAGGCTGAGGCTGAGGCTGAGGCAGGCTGAGGCTGAGGCTGAGGCTGAGGCTGAGGCTGAGGCTGAGGCTGATGCAGGCTGAGGCTGAGGCTGAGGCAGGCTGAGGCTGAGGCCGAGGCTGAAGGCAGACTGAGGCTGAGGCTGAAGCAGGCTGAGGGCTGAGGCTGAGGCAGGCTGAGGCTGAGGCTGAGGCAGGCTGATGCTGAGGCAGGCTGAGGCTGAGGCTGAGGCTGATGCAGGCTGAGGCTGAGGCAGGCTGAGGCTGAGGCCGAGGCTGAAGGCAGACTGAGGCTGAGGCTGAAGCAGGCTGAGGCTGAGGCAGAGGCAGGCTGAGGCTGAGGCTGAGGCAGGCTGATGCTGAGGCAGGCTGAGCCTGAGGCTGAGGCTGATGCAGGCTGAGGCTGAGGCAGGCTGAGGCTGAGGGCTGAGGCGAGGCTGAGGCGAGGCTGAAGGCAGACTGAGGCTGAGGCTGAAGCAGGCTGAGGCTGAGGCTGAGGCAGGCTGAGGCTGAGGCTGAGGCAGGCTGATGCTGAGGCAGGCTGAGGCTGAGGCTGAGGCTGATGCAGGCTGAGGCTGAGGCAGGTTGAGGCTGAGGCCGAGGCTGAAGGCAGATTGAGGCTGAGGCTGAGGCTGAGGCAGGCTGAGGCTGAGGCAGGCTGAGGCTGAGGCTGAGGCAGGCTGAGGCAGGCTGAGGCAGGCTGAGGCTGAGGCCGAGGCTGCAGGCAGACTGAGGCTGAAGCAGGCTGAGGCCTGGACATGATTTTGAATGCCCGGAGCCAACTGTAGGCCACTTCGTGTTCTTCGAGTTCCCAGAACTCAATTCCCGGGCCACATTTTGAATGCTGAGGCAGGCTGATGCTGAGGCTGAGGCTGAGGCAGGCTGAGGCTGAGGCAGGCTGAGGCTGAGGCCGAGGCTGAAGGCAGACTGAGGCTGAGGCTGAAGCAGGCTGAGGCTGAGGCTGAGGCAGGCTGAGGCTGAGGCTGAGGCAGGCTGATGCTGAGGCAGGCTGAGGCTGAGGCTGAGGCTGATGCAGGCTGAGGCTGAGGCAGGCTGAGGCTGAGGCCGAGGCTGAAGGCAGACTGATGCTGAGGCTGAAGCAGGCTGAGGCTGAGGCTGAGGCAGGCTGAGGCTGAGGCAGGCTGAGGCTGAGGCTGAGGCAGGCTGAGGCAGGCTGAGGCTGAGGCTGTGACTGAATGCGACTGTGCTGCGACAACTGCGACTGTCATCGCGAATGCGACTACGACTGCGAGAACAGCAGAATTCTACAATTGGATTCTCATCTGAATATTCAGGGGAATGCTTCCAGATATGCTCCTACACATCGCTGTTAGGTTGCTTTGCTGGGATAATTTTTCTTAGAATATTTTTGGATTATAAGCAAATTTCTTGGTAGGACCATAGAAGTGCCGGGACGGTCGGTCCCTGCTCAACATTCACCGTGTGTCAGCTCAAGGCAACGCCAAGATCAACACCGATGAGCATAGGAACGGCGCGCCATTCGTATACAATTCCGCGGGCCTCTTGGTGGTTTCTTGGGGCCGGTTTGGGGTTTCATTGGATCTTCTTGGAAGCTTATTGGGGCCCGTGGGGGCCTCTTTGGGGTCCTCTTGGGCCTCGTGGGCCGTCTTAGGGGGGCCGTTTGGAGGCCCTCTTGGACCCCCAAGAGGCCCGAGAGGCCGATATCATATAGTTTCCATACGTTTTGGTACGCTGTTGGGCCCCGGACGGGGAGGCCATCTTCGGTCGGCGGACGTGGCGCGATTCCAAGGGGGGGGGGTAGAGGAGTGCACGTAGCAAAGTACGTAGCAATGAGACATGGGATACAGTGGACACATTGCATTTTAGCCTTCGCAGAAGACGCTGCCGCTCTGCATGTCATTTCCAGGTGCGGATTCTTCTCGCTTCGCAGGGTGCACGTCTAGATCACGTAAACACTGGGCGTTGGGTGGTTTGCCCTGCTCGTTTGCTGCGAAGTTCTGCCGTGTCGTTCTGCCCGTCCCGGGGCGTTGCCAGCGCCACGGTGGCGGATATGTTCCCTCCGTTTGTTTGACACGCTGGGACGAACGTGCGAATGTCCACGAGGTTAATGAGCATTCACCGCGTGTCAGTATAAAGCGACGCGAAGTTCACATTCCGATGAGCATAGCAGCAACGCGCCCTTCGTATACAATTCCGCGGGCCTCTTGGTGTTTTTGTTTGTGGTCTTCTTGGGAGTTTCTTGGGGCCTGTTGGAGGTTTCTTCGGCACCCCTGGGGTCCTCTTTGTGGCCTCTTGGTGCCTTTCGGAGGCCTCGTGAACCGTCTTGGGGCGCTCTTGCGCCGTCTGGCCCCTTCGGAGGCCGTCTTGGGTGCCTCTCGGGGCCGCCTTGTGGCTGTCTCGGGGTCCTGGCGAAGACCCGGCCCAGACGTGGAGAGCATATGCTATGTTCGTACAAACCCACTGAAGGCTCTGCGAGCGCTGGGAAGAAAAGCGCTCCCCATGGTAGCGGAGTCGGGGTTGGCCCGCGGACCTCCGAGTTTGGCGTGGCAGCCCCCCGGCCCCCCGCCACCCGGGAGCACGGCTGGGAGCTGATCGCGAGGCGGCGGCGCCAGAGGCAGCAGAGGATCGGCAGGAGGCAGTTCGGCGGCCGCCGTGTCTTTTTCAAGCGCCGCTTACGGTCTTGTCCTCGGCCAGCACCTGAGGGGCTTCACTGAGCTTAAGGCGGGTCCAGAGCGGCGGACATCGCGACGACGACTCCAGAGCAGCGCCCGGCGCAGCTAGAGGAGAACTACCAGCATGTGTGTTACGGAGCTGCGCGACAGGCCAGCTCGAGAGAGAGCGTTCATGGAACTCGAGCGCCTGCGCCAGATGGCAGCCGGCGATGGTGGCCGCGCCAGTCGCGGCGCGCATCGCGAAGCAGGGCTTGTGGACACGAGGGCCCTATAGGCAAGCCAGACCTTTTCCAAGGCGAGGAAGGCACATGAAATGATTGGATGGTAATTTTCAAGACGTGCGTGAGTGTGGTCAAAAGTGAGATAACGCGTGGCATGACGATCGCCGAGGGTCCAGACGACTCTCGGTGGTGCTGAAAGCTGACCTTGGCGCCCTCTCGGCGCCGTCGCAGCAGCCCTACATCCTCATCCTCCGCTGCCGGCAGCATCCCTTCACCATGTGCGTGAATGCCGGCGAGCACCAAGGTTCCTTAGCATGGCGGAAGCTGGTCGAGTACTACGAGCCGGATGCGAGATGCCGAGTGGCTGGTTTGCTGTCCAATTTCTTGAATTTATCTTATCGAGGATCGCCCGGGCATCTTCAAGCGAAAGTTGACGCGCTATGAGCAACGCAGCAGCCAGTCAGCGCCGGCACGCGCATCGGCATCGTGACGAGGCAGCTGGAGGACGGCCCGCTCCGGCAGTACCTCCTCCTGAACGCGACGCGCCTCCGCGAGTGGCTGGTCGGCGCGAGATTGCGGACGTCCGCGGGTCCCGAGCTGCAGTCGGCCCACGCCCGCGGACCTGAGTTCGCCGACCACGGGCATGAGCTACAAGGACAAGGGGCCCAAGGGCAAAGGTGAGGACTTCAAGGGCAGCTCGGGCGGCAAGTGAAAGGATTCGAAGGGCAAGAGCAAGGGCTCCAAGTACACCGTCGGTGGCAAGGCCAAGGGCAAGGCGCGCGCAGGTCGACGCCTGGGACCCTGGCCAGATGCAGGGCAAGCAGGGCAACGCGACTTGCTGTACCTGCGGCGGCTCAGGCCACAGGCAGAAGGACTGCCCGAACCGCGCTAGGAGTGGAGTCGCGGCGCACAAGCTAGAGGCGACGCTGGCGGCCCTGAGCGCAGCGGGCATCTCAGCGCAGCTGGGCCCGTCCAGCAGCGCGGCGAGCGCAGCCAGCGCGACGCGTTCGAGGCCACAGACCGCGCGCGCCTTCGGCCGCGAGCTCGCGTCCAGGGACCGCTCCGACTCGCGGGCTCAAGGCGGTCTATTTCGACGCGCCGCCCGAGAACGACGGCGAGCGCCCGATCACGTTCGCCGGGCTCCGCGTGCTCGACGCGCCCGAGGCGTTCAAGCAGAAGACGCAGCTGGCGAGCCTCATCGTGGTTGGCGTCGACAGCTGCGCAGCGACCTCGTTGCTTCCCCCTTCCTCGCGCTCGGACTGCCCTCTCAAGGGCCAGGGGAAGGCGGTGTGGGGAGGCGCGGCGGCGCGAGCAGCAACGAGGTGCACGACTAGTCTTCGGCGCGCCGGTGGGTTCGGACGCACTGGTCAACCGAGTTCAGGGTGGCCGACGTCTCGCGCGCGCTGATTTGCGTCTCGGAGATGTCGACGCTGGGTACCGCGCGGTGTTTGACAGGGACGGCGACCTGGACACTTCCTACGTCTACCACATGCCGAGCGGCCAGCAGTGGCAGGCCACCCACAGGAACCGCGTCTACGAGATGGACCTGCAGGCGACGCTGGCCGCGGAGGCGCGCGCTGCCTACCTCTGCCCTCTCGAGGCGGCGGCGGCGGCAGCCCGCGGCGAGGGCGACGCTGACCGGGCCCGGGGGGCGGCGGAGGCGGCCGTGCCAGTTCGCCCAGCCCGAGCGCCCAACGAGCCGACGGCGGCGGAGAGGGCCGCGCACGAGGTGCTGCGCGAGCCCTACCACGCGCGGCGCCGAGGCTGCGTCTCGGGCAGGGGGCTCGCGGCTGCCCGCCCTCGCAGTGACTGACGCCATCGCTCGCAGCTACCTCGGCGCGGCCGAGGACGGCGACTTCCCGCTGCAAGCGGGGAAAGATCAGAAGCGCAGGCGGTTCCGCGCCTCGCTCGCGCCCGATAAGGGCGCGGTCCACCCGTGGAGCTCGCCGCCGCTGGCCATCGGCGCTTCGTCTTCAGGTCGGGCGACGAGCCGAGCTCGATGGCCCTGGAGTCCCCGGCGATGTCCTAGCTCAGGCCGAGCGCTCCATCGGATCGGCGCCCGAGGAGTCCGCGGTCGGCGACCCGCAGGGCAGCGGCTTACTCTATCGCGCAGCCCGCGAGATCCAGGCGAAGTGCAGGACGATCAAGTCCGCGACCGAGGCTCTGCGCGACGTCGCCACCGGCGCTCGGCATCCGCGCCCCGCGCGGCTCGCAGAGCATAGCGCCATGAGCATCGACGTCGGACGGCGCGGGCCAGATGGCAGGGCGGCGCGGGAGTTCGCGCGCGGCAGGGCCTTCGGCAAGCAGCTCTCGCCACTCGGAGAGGCGGCGCTCTTCCTGCCGGCCGGCATGGCCCCGTCCACGCCGAAGGACAAGTTCGACATGGGTATCTACCTCGGCCCGACCACGCGTTCCGACGAGGCGCGCATCGGCGCTGCGCCGGGGGTCGCCCGGGCGCGCGCGGTCAAGCGGTTGTCGAAGGGCGAGAGGAGCGATAAGGGCCTATGGACAGCATCGCGGCCGCCCCCCGGGCACCAGTCCCCTCTGGCCCGAGCGACGAGGTGCCGATCGGGATCCGCGTCCCGGCTTCTCGCGCCGCGGGCCCCGCTCCTCCTCGCCTCGCGATGAGCCCGGCGGCGCCTCAAGAGCAGTTTCCACATCGGGCCTCGGCAGAACCAGCAGGACCGCAGAGCGTCTGCATCAGGAAGGACGCGGAGCTCGAGAAGTAAGGCTACAGGCTACAACCCAGGCTGCAACGGCTGCGCGGCGGCAGAGCTCGGCGCGCGAGCTCAGGCGCACTCGACGGACTGCCGGGCGCGCATCGAGACGGAGATGGCCAAGGAGGAGTCGCTGGCAGCGCGGCTCGAGTCGGCCCGCGAGCGCAAGCGGGCCAGGCCTTCGAAGGGGGCCCCCGCGTCGCCGGCGGGAGCGGCACCCTCGATTCCAGCGCTGGCCCGTCGGCGTCGGCAGCGGCTGCGCCTTCGGCGCCTGGGCCCGCTGCCATGCGCGTCGACGTGCTGGTGCCTGATGACGACCCGATGGGCGACCTCTTGGCCTTGATTTTGAGCCTCGGGTACAACGGCGTGGAGAGCACGGGCGCGATGGAGGTCATGCCAGGGCGACTCGCGCCTTACTGTCAGCTGCTCGGCCTGGTGCGCGACGGTTGCTTCGACCTGCGTGTCAGGTGGAACTGACTGATAAGCGTGGGCTGGCCACTTGCCTGGAGCTGATCGAGCACTGCGAACATGCATCGGTGCTCGGGTGCCCGATGTGCGCGCCGTTCTCAAATCTCTAGCACTTGAGCCCTGTCACGCAGCAGCGCACTGACGACTGCGAGGTAGGCTGCGAGCACCTGAAATTCGCGCGCGACATCTACGGCATCGAGATCCAGGTGGTCAGGAGCGACGTCTTCCTGCGCGAGCACCCGTGGACGGCTACCTCCCGGAAGATGGGCGTCATCGTGGAGTTGCTACACACGCCGGGCGCAGAGGTGCGTCGCGAGGACCAGCGCGCGCACGGTCTGCCCGAATGACTCTGGCGTTGACGCGCCTCGTCAGCGCAGCACCTTCGTCGGCAGGGGCACGCGCGCGGCCGAGCGCTACGCTCCGCAGTTTTGTAGGCCATGCTGCGCGGCTTCAAGAGGTGCATCCAGCGGCGGCCCCGCCCGACGATCGGCGCGCTGGGCGGCGGACCGCGCGTGGACGAAAAAAAGAATCGGTGAAGAGCGAGTTCCACGAGGACCTCGCCGGCTTGACGATGGGCCCCGGCCGCGCTCGAGCGGGGCGCCGCGTGGAGATGGACTTCGCGGTCGCGCTCGGGGACAGCGGCATCTGGGAGTAGGGCGCAGTCGAAGAGTGCGCGCGAGACGCGGGGCGGAGACCTCTGGGCGCACGCTGGGTGGGCGCGGACAGGGGCGACCAGGATCGCCCAGACTACAGCGACAGGCTCGCGGTGCAGGAGACGCGGGCCCAGGGTGCCATCGCGCCGGGTGACGTCGGCGCCGCGCGCGCAGCCGCGCCGCCGCTGGAGTGCCTGCGGCTCGCGAGCTCAGCGGTCATGTCGAGTGATCCGGGCGAGGGCTGGTGTCTCCGCATCGGGTGGCGTGCATCCGCCACCCCGAGGGGGATCCCCGCAGCGTCGAGGGCGGCATCTGCGGCGGACTCCTGATGGCCCTCTGCGGCACGCGCGACTCTGGCCAGAACTTCGAGCTGGCGACCTCCGAGGTGTTGCAGCAGGGCGGCTGCCAGCAGAGCGCCTTCAGCCCCTGCGTTCATTTGCGCGAGGAGAAGCGCCTGGGCCTCTTCCACCGGGGCGACGACTTCGTCATCGAGGGGGGCCGCGAGGAGTCCGCATGGGTGACGGGCTAGCTCGGCGCGACGTTCATCGCGAAGGACCGCGGCGCGCTGGGGCCAGAGCCGCAGGGCCTCGAGGAGATCGCGCTCCTGTGCTGGACGATCAGGTTGTGCGACTGGCGGGCAGCGGGGGGCGAGGCCATCGAGTGCGAAGCGGACCCGCGGCGTGTCCTGATCGTTCTGTCCCAGCTCGGGCTCGACGGCGAGGGCGCGAAGCCATTCAGCTCCCTCGGCGTCAAGGTGGCCATCGCGCACGAGGTGGGGCGCGAGCTGGGCGAGAAGGAGGCCGCCGAGTTCCGCTCCCCGTGCGCGCGCCTTGGCTACTTCGCGCTGGACAGGCCCGAGGCGCAGCGCGTGGCCAAGGAGTGCGCGAGGGGCATGGCCAAGCCCGCTGTGCGACACGTCCAGATGCTCAGCTCAAGCGCTGCGCTTCGAGGTGTCTGGCGCTACGGACGGCAGCGCAAGCCCGCGCGCGTGGACGCGCGCGGTGACGCCGACTGAGCTGGCCGGTCTTCCACGAGAAGGAGTACCTCAGCTACGGTGGTCAAGCCCAGCCTCCCACGCCATCGCCGCGGCATCCGCGACCCGGATCCCGATCTCCATGGGCCGCGGCGAGGCAGAGTTCCATGGGCTGGCGCACCGGCTTCGGGATCGCGGCGAGCGCCCGCCCGTGGGGGGACTCGTCTGCGGCCATCGGCGTCGCTCAGCGCAGAGGCCGCGGCGAGGCGTGGCACCTGGAGACGCCTGCGCTATGGCCCCAGCAGGCTTTCCGCGGCGGCCGCTTCCCTTTTCTAAGGTGCCAGACAAGCTTGCACCTGGGAGCATCGGCGACGAAGCAGATCCTCGAGAAGACGCGCGCGATGCTGACAGACGAGCCCGTGCGAGGGGCTCTGCAGGCTAAGGTTCGATGCGCCGCGCGCCCGCGCAGGCCGAGCTCTGAGCGCGACGGCGGCGCCCGTGGCGGAGGCGCGCATTCGAGCGCAGAGCGGGGGTCTCCACTCGGCGGCCGCGCCCTTAGCAGGGTGGGGCGCGCCCGAGGGGGCTGGCGAAGACCTGGCCCAGACGTTGAGAGTATATCATATGTTCTAATGTTTTGGTGCGCCGCCGCCGTTTCGAGTGCAAACCTATTGAAGGTTCTGCGAGCGCTGGGAAGAAAAACGATCCCCGGGTCCTCTTGGACCGCCACGGTGGCCTCTTGAGCCGTTGCGGGGGCTTCCGCCAGACAGCTGGAGCCCCGGATTGGGCCCCTCTGGATTGCCTCAGGCGTCGTTTCGGGGCCATCTCGGAGGCTGTTTGGGCCGCCGTGTGACCCCGCGAGTCGAAAGAACACGAGAGCGAAACCTTGCAAACCATTAGAAAACGAAGACAATGTTTTTTGGGTTGTTTCTGGAATTGCCTTCGGGGGCCCCCATTGGAGCCCGCCGGGGCCTTCTTCGAGGCCTCTTGGGGCCATCTTGGGCCATCTTCGGGCCGCCCGGAGGCCGGCTAGAGCCGCCTCGAGGCCGTCTTGGGTTCTGAGAGACCCAAGAGGCCCAAACCATTCACTGCCAGTCGGTTTTTCTCATTCTTTGAGCCCCCGAAGGAGCCGCCAGATTTTGGCGCGCGGGCGCGGCGCGGCTCCGGCGAGGGGGTGTGGGGGGTGACAATAGATTGTGATATTATCGAAATTCACGCAATATGATTTGTGATGGAAAGTATAATTGCACGCGCAGGATCAATTGAAGCGTTGCTTTCGCGGAAAACGCCGCTGCTCAGATCGTCGCCATCTTGGCGTGGATTCTTCTCGCTTCGTGGGGTGCGCGTCCAGAGCGCGTAAGATTGGGCAGTCGGTGGTTTGCCCTGCTCGTCTGCCGCGAAGTTCTGCCGCGTCGGTCTGCCCGCCCCGAGGCGTCGCAAGCGCCGCGGGGGGCGGGCGCGCCCCTCCCCGTTTCAGCGCCGGGGCGAGCGCGCGAATGTCCGCGGGGGCCATGAGCATCCACCGCGCGTCAGCTCAAGGCGACGTCAAGTCAAATTGCGATGGGCATAGCAACAGCGCGCCATTCGTCTGGTGGTCTTCTTGGGGACCCCTTGCGCCGTCTGCTTTCGTCTAGAGGCCAGCTTAGGCCGTCTTGGAGGCTTCTTGGGCTTCGACGCTCTTGGGTCGTCGTGAAGGTTATCTTGGACCATCTTGGGCGAACTTGAAGGCCATCTTGGCCGTCTTGGAGGCCATCTTGAGCCGCCTTCTCTTGGGGCCTCTTGGAGGCCTCTTGGGGGGGCTTCTTGGGGGCCTCTTTGGGGCTCCTCGGGGCCGTCGGCAGGCCTCGTCGGCCGCCCTGGGGCGCCCCTGCGCCGCCCGGCCCCTGCGGGGGCCGTCTTGGGGGCCTCTCTGGAACAGCTGTTATCGCAGGCCCAGAGGTTGACACCAGAACCTGTATCGGCGGCGCGCCTCAAACCGGGGGAAGACGCCCCCGATCTCCGTGATGGTGGTGACCTTATGGCTTCCGAGGTGGTCGAAATGTTACCGCCAACGCCGAAATCTAGGATCATCTCCCCCCTGTGGAGGCAACCCCCTGCGTTGGTGTTGGTGCCCATTTCTAGGCCTTCAATGTTAAGGGCGCGCTGTGCCGCTCCGCCCCCCGGCGCCCTTCTCATCCTGAGTTGTAGTGTATGAGGTCGCTGTCGTGCGACGACGACCGCTGACAGATAGATTGAGGGCGCGAAGCGTCAGAAAGCGGACGTTGAACTGTTGATTTGGATTGCGGCGAGCGCATGCTCGCCGGAGGAGGGCGCCAGAAGGCCGTTCAGTCTGATTCAGCTTGGGGCGGCCCCGTGGGAGGGCCCTCTTCATCAACGACTCGCGCGATCGACGAGCCTTTGATCGGTGGCGCCAGCGAGCGCGGACGGGCGACCGACAACAGTAGCAATTTCAAAGAAAGGAGCGGAGGTGATTGGCGACCGAGTTCCCCGACGATGACGAGGCTTCAGCCCGCCAGGAGGGACCTTCGAAGAAGCGCGAATCAGCTCGAGAAGCATATGGTGAAGCGTCTGCGGAAGCAGGACGGAATGGCGATTCGGAGAAGGGCGCGGGGCCGAAGGGCGACGGGGCGAGGGCCGCGGGCCAAGCCCAGCCAGAGGTGGGCGCAGGAATTCGCGATGACGTTGAATCAGAAGACGCAGGGCGAGCACTGGAAGCAGGAGGGCCAGAAAGCGACGGACGGGGGGGCCCGCCCGAAGCGCCGCTTCTGGATAAGAGGGGGGCGAAGATATCAGAGCCGCCGCCAGACGCCCCAGAAGGGCGAGCCGAGCTTTCCGATGATGGCACGAAAGGAATAGATGAATCTGGAGATCTGGCATTCTTCTGAGCGGTTCAGGAAGGATCCATGCCGGAACCGGCGGGGGATTTGAACCGCCGGTTGCAGCGGGGGCGCGACGACGGCGAGTTGCCGCGAGGTAGGGGGGGGCCCGGAGGTCCGGAAGAAAGAAGCCAAGCTGCGCAAGCTCGGGGCGACGACCTTCCACGGGCGAGATTGGGGCAGCGACCTTCGGAAGCAAGAGAAGGAAGATGCCGAAAGGTGGGGGATGGGGGAGGAACGTGCGGCGCAACGGAAGGTTGCGGTTGCGATAATGAAGTCGCAGAGGGATGCCAAGCAGCTGATTAGCTCGGAGGCGATGGGCTCGGCAGGGGCCAGCGGATCCAGCTGGGCCGCGCGCAGGCAGGGCGCGCTGCTGAGCAGAGCGAATCGCCAGCTGGAGTCTGCAGAACGGATCGAGGACTTCGAGACGGAGCTCGAAGGAGCCCTGGAGGTAGGGGCCCCAGCTTTTCCCGATACCTTCACCGACGAGTCCATGCGGGTCGCTCGCATGAAGAAGACGTTCACGATGAGGATCTGATCTTTCGCATGACTGGCGCCGCGATGGCGGGCGCCCTGAAAGAGTCCTACGCGATGCGGTTCAAGGGCGAGTCGGACCAGACGACATGGTCGCCCGCGACCTGGGCCGAATGTCTGGCGCGCGAATCGCCGATGCGTTCTACGGAGCGGTGGGCGCAGAAGAGCTGAAAACCAATATCTTCGGGAGAAGGACCGGAGATCGGGCGGAGGAGCCGGCGGACCCTCCGCGACCACATTTCGACGCGCGACGGAATTGAGGCGAGGACATGCTCCGCGCTGCCCCCCCTTGGCGGCGAGGCCGATGCCGGAACGGAGCGAGCGCGACCGCCAGAGGATCTCCCCGCGCGGTAGGGGGCCCCGCTCTTGCAGGGCGGCCCGTTCATGACACTTGGCAGAAAAGCGTCGAGAAGCTTCCCGGGGAAGCCCCCAGACCACCCGGGCGACCCGATGCCAGTCGGGAAAGGTGCACTCCGCGAACGGCGGCTCCACCGTCAGCGATTGAGCGGGTTCGGGCCGCCGAGGTAGAGAGGGGCCGAGGAGCGCGGGGCCGGGTGTCGGCAAGCCCGGGCGCGACCGGTCGACGCGCGGCAGGGGGCTCGCCCCTTGCGGCGGCAGGTCCAGCGATGGACAGAGCGCGGCGACAGCCGCTGGACGACCCCACAAAGATTCAGGCCAAACCCTCGAGGAACTAGAAGGCTTATTACGACATGAGTCCCAGCGCGGCAGGGCCCGAGGATGCGCGGAAGAGCGCGCTTGGAATTGCTGGGTGGGCTTGGGATCGTCGCCGGGGCCTGGGCCAGTCAACCGGCGCGGAACGCTTCTGGCAGGCCCTCAACCACCGAGGCCGCCGATCTTTCAGGGCCCACCCGATCCGCAAGGAACGGGCTTGACCCATGCGGCCGACGCCGGCATCAACGATCAAGATCCAGAAAGCCAGAGGCCGAGCAAGCGAGCGCAGCCTTGAACGCCTCGATAGGTGGAGGCCCAACGCTGGGAGGTCAGCGCTTGCCTAGAGCCCCGGCCGAGCCGCCAAGGCCAGTGCCAACGTCCGCAGAATCGCCGACGGAAAAGATGGCAACGGCGCTGGTTGCAGCGATGGGCATTCAGCAGCAGTCCACAATAGACGGAGTCGACAGGATCATCCAGATTCTGAAGTCCCAGGGATCGGCTCCGACCTGTCGGTCAGAGCTGAACTCGAGCACCAAGGTCGAGCCGAAGATGAAGTGGCCGACCTTGGGCGTAGAGGAGCCCGCAGGCTGATGAGCACTTCGCGAAAACTGCGACGGCATTTGCGGCATGGCGAATAATGCCAGAGGCAGAAAGCCGCTCGAGGTAGTCATGTCCATCGGGGTTAGCTTGACGGGCAACCAGAAGATGATCTACGACAATATCATCCAGGATGCCAGTGACGACGGGCAGTTGTGAGAAGTGTTCGGAGATGCTGTCTACGAGGAATATCCGAGGACGGCTTCTGCTGTTCACGGAAACCCCAGGCGAGAAGCAGATGAGGTGCGTACGGAGATGAACAACCCTGAGAAGTTGCCAAATGAGAGTTGCCTGAGCTTCGAAGCCCGATGGGAGAAACATCACTGGAACATGCGGAGAGCAAGCCTAGTATGTACCGAGGCCGAGGACTTCGTAGACTACGCCACGAATATCGGAAAAATGTACAGCGCTGTGATCCGGTTCGACATGCGAGACTACCCGAAGAAAGACGGTGGAACAGAGCACATGACGCCGAAGACCTGGCAGGAGGCCCGAACGGTCGCATGGGAAATCGAACGGGTTACTCGAGACAGCCAGGCGACACACCACGACAGTCCCTGCGGGACCTGTCGGTCCTTCACAGCAGGCGGTATCTGGACCGATTCGGCCGAAGAAGTGGGCGAGGACCTCATGTGCCTGTACCCTTCAGTCGGGTCTGTCCCTCTACAGGGGGAATCTTCAGAAATACGCAAACAATCGTCTGGGTATTATTTTTTGTTGATCGACGCGGACTCGACACGGATCCGACGCGTCCGACATGGATTCAACACGGATTCGACGCGGACAGGGCTTCGACGGGACAGACAAGGTCCCCCGAAGATGCAACATAACCTTCCTCCTCGTCCTCCTTTTCTCCCTTTGGGGGGGGCGGCGCGAAAGCGCGAAGTCGTTCGCGCCCTCGCGTTTCGCGGAGCGCGAAGCGCGAAGTTGGGAGCCCCAGAACGGGCATGGTCACGCAGGGGGTGTGGTTGGCGATCGGCGCCGCTGGTCGGTATCGTTTAACCGACCCACATCCCCATCCCCATCCCCTTCGAGACCCCCACCAAATTACCACCCCAGTGGGGAGTACAACCCTCGAAACCCGAAGGGAAACACCTATATCCCCATCTAAGGGGGTAAATCGGCCAGTGGGGCCCAGGCCACGCCGCTGGGGATGGGGATCGGTTAAAGGATGCTCAGCTGGGACTTAGGAGGTCCCGACGCTGCGCCAAAGGTCGGCCACGCGCATGGGGAGGTAGGGGGAGGGGGGAAGGCTTCTTAGAAGCATCCCCATTTCTCAGAAGGCGCGGGCATGATCTATAGATGTAGTTCGGGCGCCTTCTAAGAAGCAACCTCCTAAGAAGCTTTCCCCCCTCCCACTCCGGAGTCGCCGAACATGTCTATGTTTCGCGCGTTTGTTCACCTTGGAGTGGCGCGTGCCGATTTCCGCGCACTGCGTCAGTCGCTCTGGTTTCGCGCCCCACTTTCAGCGGGGGCACAGGTACCGATGCCGCTGTTCGTCCTCGAGGGTCCTCGTCGCCACGGCTGGATTCTCCTCGAAGTCCTGGTCAGACCGCACCCCAGGAGAGGTCCAGGGAACGGCGGTATCATTGCATCTTTGCCCCCCCCAATCTCCGCGAGACTCCTTCTTCCGCGGGTGGGGTCCAGTTCGGTCGGCCTGGTCATGGCGGCGATTCGCCCGAGCTGCGACCACATGTCGTCGAACACCGGGAGCTCTCGGACAGCCGCGCCGTGCCTTGCGGTGTCAGTTTCGACCATCGCCCTCCGGACGTTGCGTCGAGGGCGAGCGGGGGCTCGGGGGCCCCTGAACGGGGCGGTGACCACACCGTACGGGCGGTGAGTCGGTGGGGATTCGGGGTCACCGCACGGTGTTGGGACTCGGGCCCCTCTCCGAGGACGTCTCGGGCGACAGGGGCCTCCAGGGTCCCGAAACCGTGCGGTGGCGGACCGTGCGGTGAGGTCTTGGGGGAGTTCGAGGTCACCGCACGGTGCGTCACCGCACCGTTGCGGGACTCCACAGGGGGTGGGGCGGGGAAGCGGCCGAGGACACGACTTTCTTCAGCTACGGCGCCGCGATCAAGACCCTGACCGACGTCGAGGTCCCTCGGGGAGATGGCAGAGAAGGGGTAAAAGTAGTGAGGGGCGGGATTGGACGGGATCGGGATGGGGAGCGGAGGGACGGGGGAGAGGGGGAGGAGAGGGAGGAGGAGGAGGAGGAGGACGAGGAGGAGGAGGAGGAGGAGGAGGAACACCAGGAGGAAAAGGAGGAGGAAAAAAGGAGGCGGAGACGGAGGCGGAGGAGGCGGAGACGGAGGCAGAGGAGGAGGAGGAGGAGGAGGAGGAGGAGGAGGAGGAGGAGGAGGAGGAGGAGCAGGAGGCGGAGGCGGAGGAGGAGGAGGAGGAGGAGGAGCAGGAGAAAGAAGAAGAAGAAGAAGAAGA